TATGTATCCATTTAAGTCTTCCAAATTTTGGAACCTGAACCATGTAAATGAGCTGTCTATTCAAAAACACATAAAGGAGGCCGGGCACCAGTGGTGAGATCTGAGGACCAAGGTTCAAAGCCAACCCAGCCAGGAAAGTCCATGAGACTCATCTCCAATTAACCACCAGAAAACCAGAAGTGGCTCAAAGTGGTGGAGCACTAACTTTGAGCAAAAAAGCTAAGGGACAGAACACTGGTGCTGAGTTCAAACCCCATGACTGAACACAAGAAAAAAAATAAGGAAATTTTAAATTATTTTAGGCATGTCCATTATTTTTCAAAATTAGGCAGAATGACCAAGTCCCATTTCACAGATGAAGAAGTCTGAGGCACCAAGCAGAAAGTGGAATTACTCAAGGTTGTGGCACGGGTTGAGTAAGGACCAAGCCTTCAGACTCCTGATCTAATAAGAACTCCACAATCAGGAAGACAGTACTCAGACTCACATTACAATTCCAGTCCAGGGAGTAAGAACCAAACAAATGCATGAGGGAACAGGAATGACCATGCAGAAAGTTTACTAACTAGCACAGCAGCATGTGTAAGCTGGCTGGCACTATCTAAATGTTCTGGATAACTGATAAATACCCTAAAACTCTTTGGGTGCCAACACTTACTAGTGAATACCTTTTGTAAAACACCCAAGTCTACATTTTTCTTTTGGTGAGTGCAACAGGCACATTGCATTTTCACTCGATTCACCCACATTCAGAACCTCGTGGTCAACTTTACAGGCTAAGAGTTAATCAGAAAGTGGTCAGGTGTAAAAATAAGCACTGGGTTTCACCAGATAGACACTGTGTTCAAATCCTGGTTTCACCAATGACCCATGAAAAGCCCTGGGTAAGCCGGTCACTCACCTTGGCCTCAGCTTCCTCTCTATAAATATTAACCAATATACAGGTATATACGAACACCATGTGCTGGTGCATCTCACTGGATACAGGAGAGAACATATCAGATAATTTTAAGTCCAAATAAGTGCTATGAGCAGATACAATAATGGAAAAAGAGGGTCTGGGAGATCAGGAAAGGCCTGTCTAAAGAGGTTACACTCACACTGGAACCCAAACAATGAACACAGCAAGTACACAGGGATCTGGGGACTCAAAGTATGACAACAGGGGAACAAGCACAAAATCTCGAGGCAGGAACAATCTTGCATGTTTAAAGGACAGAGGGCTAGTGATGCGAAAAACAGAATGAGAGGCATGGTGAAGAAAAATGGAGTTGGATATTATTAATTATTGAGCTGGATATTAATTATTGGGTTGGATATTATTATTAATGGGCTGGATATTATTGTTACAGTGGCAAGTGACTATGGGGAACAGTAACTAATTTAATTACATTTAGCAGCAAAACTCTTTAAAAGCAAATAACAAGTGAAACTTCTTCAATATACAGCTGGTAAAAGTGGTAGTATTTAGGCAGGCTGGGAAACTAGTTAAAGCCTCTGAGCTTCAGCCTTTTTAGCATTCCCAACTCACCTCAATGTATAGACCCCTCAGAGGAGCTAAATATTCTCAGATGATCTATTTCTAAGTTCCTCAAACTGTTATGAAATCCAACATCAGAGCTGGAGGTATGTCTGAGTGATAGAGTTCATATGCCAGGCCCAGGTCAAACTGAGGGCTGAGCATGTGAGCTCTAGCCATAAAAAGAATAATACAATTATCATTATCATCATGCATGTTATCTGTAAACTGATTTGTTGGAAGGTAACTCCTTTGCACAACTACTTCAACTATTAAGGATAAAAATACAATTTAAAATAATAATAGTGTCCTCCAGCAACCAAACAGTCTTTCAGAAAGGTAACCACCGTAGCTTGGAGGCCTCATAACTCTTACTCAGCCCAGGCTGCCTCTCAAGGAAGCAATCTGGAAGCAACTATAAAGAAAAGAAATAATGGGCTGCCCAGGTCTGCACTGCACAGCCCATGCTTGGGTACACAGTCCACCGGGCTCCACAGGCCACCGGTAAACAGGGACCCTGCAGCCAGCACAGAGCCACCACATCCCACTCCAGATGCAGCCAGCAGCTGGCCAGCCCATCACTGCTCTTCGTGCCCTCTTTGCACACTGCACTTTCAGTGTGACTGTTAGCAACACCAGGAATACAAATTCAGCCACAGAACCCCGTGGGGGTGGTCCTGAATAACTCAGAGCTCCCGGCCTACACCACGAAGACCAAACTGCACAGAAACTCCAAAGACTACAATATTGCAAGCAGAAGTTTCTGCTGACCCAGTTACATCTACTCTAGAGGCAGTGAGGTCATAAAAATGCCTTTGACTCACTTAGAGACAACATCCAGAAATGACCTCAATTTTTACAAGGGCAAAAACAAAGAGCTAATTATCCTGGCCAAAGGCAACAATAGCAGGCCTGCAGCCTGAGGGATAGGACCCTTAAAAAAATCCCCTTGGGAGCTGGGTGCGGGTGGCTCAGCCGGTCATCCTAGCTACTCAGGAGGCTGAGAGCTAAAGATATCCCGGTTCAAAGCCAGCCTGGGCAGGAAAGTCCGTGAGACGCCCATCTCCAATTAACCACCCCAAACCCGGAAGTGGGGCTGCGGCTCAGGTGGTGGAGCGCTCGCCTGGAGCTCCGAGCTGAGGGACAGCGCCCAGGCCCAGAGTTCAAGGCCCACGACCGTCAAAAAAGCCAACACACAAACAAAAAATCCCAAAGGCAGAGATCTAAAGACACCACCGCGCAGCGCAGCGCCGAGAGCCAGAAACAGACCCTGCCCCGCGCGGCCTGTGCCCCTGGAGGGGAAGCACGGCCCCCCTGCGCACGGCCCTCCTTTCCGCTTCCGTTCCTGCACCGGCAGACACTGAAGCCCTCACGAAGGATTTCTGCACCGTTCAATCCAGAAAAGATACTGGGCGCCCCGTGGGCGAGGAGCACACGGGCCGGGCCGGGGGGCCGGGGGCAGGGGAGCGGGGCAGGGAGGGCAGGGGGGAGGACGGG